TGGGGGGGGGGTCTGCTCTGTGTGCCTTGTTCTCTGAAATTCAGGTATAACGGAACATCCAAACTTGGAACTGAAATGTGTGCATTTGTGGATGATTTGCTTGATGTTTGTACACATGTGTGCCTGTTTGTGGTGTCTGATGAAGAAACTGGAAGTGATCGACTGCAGGGCAGCAATTGTTTATACTTTTTGTTTTCTTGCATTATATTGCTTGCCTTTCGTTTTCTTTGAAATGATTTTTCCAGAGAATTGGAATGTTCATCAGTTTCCTACTTTGACATATTGCTGAAGAATTGGAATCATGAGCTGCAGGTTTTGACAGGAAGCAGGAAATGTCCGTAACAAATAATCAGGCCTTTGTCACTGGGTACTTCACCCTCCAAGTGCCGGCTGCCCACTGAGTCAGCTCTCGTAGATCTACTGTCAGATTTTTCTCCTTTGTGGCGCAGCTGATTTAACTCTTTATCTCCGGCAAGTCGCTCCCAACGGCTGGCGGTCGGAACCCCTGTGTCGGTGTGTCGCTGACAGCGGGCCGGGCACATTCCTGTACTTTGACTTCCTCATCAAATTACTCTTCGGCAGTTGCCAAAAACAGGTTTGTTTTATCGGGAGTTTATTCATGAGATGAAGACCTATCAAAATAGGTTAATGTTTTTATTTAATGACCAATTTAGTGACGATTTTATCATTTGTAGATTTAGTTCCAAAAACGGACGGCGGCATAGTGGGTTTCCCCACCTCGGAGATAAAGAGTTAATGGGCTGTCATTGGTCATTTGTTTCTTTTTGTTGTACACAGTTGGAGTTTTCTCGGGGGTCCAAAGCCGCGTCACTGACAGGGTGTGGGCGTTGTTGCCATCAACCTGCTAGAAGTATCGGCGCTTACTTAACGGAACGGCCGCAAAATATTACACAGTTTTGGAGCGGTCTAATTTTTAAAAAGGAAAATGGCGTACTCTGTTTTAATTCTACTTTACTTCAGAGAGAGTTACAAACATATTGAATCAGCTCATTTTGTATCAGTCTATATATAACATGTATGTTATATAGTGAGGATATGCTGTCAGTGGTAGCAAGCAGTCTCGGTAGTGGACCGACGGCTTTCTTTTTGTCAAGTTTTTAAAATTTACGTTCAGATCTGTCAAGTTCTTCAATACAATTTGCATGAAATCCAGATTGTACGTGGTAGAGAGATAGCTACCTACAAAGATACGTATATTGTGTGTGT